CTGTGCCGTCGGCCTGGCGTCATTAGTGTGTGCTTCTAGTGGGTGATGTTCGATTGTCAATAGAAGTGAAGAGACGAGTCCCAGGAAGTAGTCTTGACGAAGGAGACACGATCGCTGGAACAAGAGCTTTATTAGCCTGACGTTTCGGATTTCTGCTCGACCCGTATCTGCTTTTGTCTCTGATGATGGGTTCGAGCAGGAATCCGAAACGCCAGGCTAATAAAGCTCTTGTCCCAACGATCGTGTCTCCTTCTTTAAGGTGTTCGATTGTCCATGCCTTGTGCCGACAATAACATGTCACTTAACAATGACAGAGCGGCGCTCATTGATCACGGCTACGGGACACACTCGTGTTCTTTGTGCCTTGAAACTCAATCTCGAGCCCTGTCGGCAGCTGCTTAGTAACTAGTATCATAAGCAGGATGATATTGTGGGCAGAGACAAGGGAGACCCGAATGACCACTTCAGGCTTGTTAGCCGTCATCAGCCAGCCACTCTAAACCGCAGGTTTTGCAACTACTGAGGCTTGTGACCTGTTGATTAGAGGTCCATCGCCATAACTTAACCAAATCCTGGCGCATGCAGTGTCTTTGCTAAAATTACCAACTAATCGACTTATAGAATACGCAGACTAGTCAGAATTCATATCGGCTTTCGGGTAGAGCCTAGAAAGGTTTATTCCGAAGGATTTGCTCCAAGTTCAAGCATTTATATCCCAGGAAATAAAAAGGGATCAAACTAATCGTCAACTTCGGAGAAAGTTCGTTCTTGACTACTTATCATCAAATCAGTTAAAGTTAGCCAAAATGTCAGAATAGGACAAGCAACAACATTCGAGGCTCGTGCCTTATAAGACTACTTGACAGGTCACCGCTTCTGTATTTCTCCTACACTGCACTAAACATCACGTAAGAGGTGGTCCGACCGATTGTTCATAGACCGACGCATGCGGGAATGGGCAGCTTAAGCCATAGACAGTCCCCAGTCACTGCGACATTTAGGCCCGGTTCTGAATAGAACGAGAAGGAGTTGGGCGTCGGTTGAGAGGATATTGCATTCTGTGCAGAAAGACTGGAGAACAGGTTGGAACAAGTTGGTGGCGGGAGGAGAACAGTTGTCATACCGCCTTGAGCGACGGACAAGTCGGCCTTGACGCTGATTGGCCGGTTTGGATTGTCGTGGTTGGCCGAGAACTCGACTGCGAGTGTGAGTACGCGCGAGAGGCGCAACGTTGCAATGGCGCAGGGAGTGGGATCAGTGCAAACATACTTATCAGGAATTAGATCAGAACGTAGGAGTGAGTAACATCTTAAAAATGTGAATAAAGAAGTGCTAATGAGATAGTAGTATAAATTGAAAGATAACAGGAGACGTCCGCGGCAGAAGTGGACAGGCGAAAGATGCATCTTAAAACAGGAATATCTTTTTTTATAGGGTGGAGAAAACTGGCAGAAGGGAATACATGGGAGTCAACAATCATAAACAACTTACCGACTTACGAGTTAAGTAATGTGACAGGACCGTCCTCACCGAACTGAGCATACGAAATCACGAATCAGGTTAAAATGGAAGTTAACAGGATAGTATAGTCGCCACGAACGACGAACTCCACCTCCGCCCCAGGCCGTGGGCGCAAGGGTGACTTGATTACCACTTTGTCTACAAGGATGTAGGCTTATGTTGCTCCCATCTCACTATCTCCTATCACACCCACTATGCCATTCTGGCAAGGTAAAGTCGAGATGGTCGGAGATGAGTGGGGACCCAGGATGTGACGAGGTTAAATAGCTGGCCTGCACGTGCCACACACCACCAAGACACCCGTTTAGATTTGTCAGGCTACAATAAGGGTAACTTAAACTCCACGTGTGTGTGGTTGTGTGGGAATACCACTTGGCCCATATTAAATGGGATCCACTGTAGCTTACCCCTCAGTCCTGAAATGGACCGACTTATCCCGTCGCATGTCACACTTCCGAACCATGACACATCGCAAGGTGGTAGGTTAGAGATAGTCAAATTTATAATTAGTGAGAAATGCATTAATCTACCGTGAGGACGAGTTCCCCAGTGTCGCTCTCACTGTCTCTTCCATATCTCACGCGCCATTCTGCCTGTCGGTATGTCAAACAACTAGTTAAGGCTGAACGCCCCGTCTTCGCGTGCCACACGACATGGTTCACACTCAATGTGTATCAGGCTACACCTAATGACATGTTTTTCACCTAATTTGGATGTGCACGCTTTTACATGTGATGTTTCGCTTGCCGTGTCGATGCTGGCAAGGGAAATCGCAGGCCGGTGGCAGGAGCGACGTGTAATGTGCGCTCGTCTGGTGAAGTAGGTTCATGTTTGGGATTACAGGTGGAACGAAGTAATGTTGTACTGAAGGCTTTTGTTGAAGCGCATAAGACCGAATAGACCGGCTAGCATACGACGACAGACAGCCAGAGGTTACCAAATGACAAAGTGGATGAGACAGTGTTAGTGTTACAGGCCTTGCTACTGCAGGGTGCCTACAAGCGAGTCAGGGGTTATTGACAACAATTGTCCTACCGCACCTTGAGCCGGCCGCTCATTTCGTTGGTCACGCCGCAAGATGCCTGCGTGCGCCTGATCCACGTCTGGCCGCGGTCAATCAGCGATGGGCATCTCGACCGAGGTAAAACTGTCGTCACTCCGAGAGACTGAGTCACACGCGACACATGTGCGTGCGATCACGTTTAAGACTACGAGAGCAGACTGCCGCAGGCCCATGCGATAGCCGAATGTCCTGGTATAGTGTTCATAAATGACATGTGAGTGATGGGTGTATGCGGGAACTCCAGGTGGCGGTATAGTGGATTCGCAAATAACTGACAAGACTAATGTACGATTCGAAGTTGTGGCTTCAACAGAGAGAGGGAGAAACTGCGGAAACACTGATGTTAGAGGTGGGGATGGCGGAGATGTTGGGTAGCATGGGAAGAACGTCCTCATTGTTGATACGGGTGGAAATGGAAGGCCGGGAAAATGCATTTGTCGACGTCTACGAGTGGTGCGAATGTCCGTGCCGCTGTAACAGCTACCATCAGACGGTACGGATGGGATGGAGAGAAAGAAAGAGAGTAGTAGAGATAAGAAGTTGGGGGAGCAGGGGATAGGGGGTCAGTGCATTTTTGTCCGTGAACCTGATCCAGCGTTTCGTCTAGAACAACAGTCTTAAGCCTGTCGACACTGACTACGTCCTCCTTGTCACCGCAAAGGATCTGGCAGGTCTTGGTATCGTGTGGCGGTACTCAGATGGTCCTTCACATGACACTTCCAGCGACTGGAGCACACGGTCGCACCAAACACATGATTACAGTTGATCAGGCCTTTCTCGGCATAATACTCGTTCTATGGAGTTCGTGACGGACCCAGAGACAGGAAGCGCATGAATTTTCCTCGTCCGTGCACAAATTGCCAGGACTCTGGTAGGCAACGCGAGATTTTGGGGTAACCATCTCGTCTGGTCGTCGGAGCGTAATGCCAAGCACCAACTCAACTGCGCTGCCGGGCATTTCCGGCCTCACTGCGGCACGAAAGCCAAGGTACGCCAGTGGCAGGAAGTCCGACCAGTTCGCTCGGTCCTCTGTGACAGTCAGGGCGATCTTGACTTGTCGGTGGAGACGATCGATCATGCCGTTGGCTGCTGGATGGTAGGTTGTCGTCCGAATGCGTGAGCAGCCAAACAAAGGTTAGGAGGGCTTCAAATAGGTTGGCTCCAACTGTGCACCTCGGTCAGTCTTAACCGTTGATGAGCGCCGAACAAGTGTGGGCTGGAGTGCAAAGAGGTAAGGCACGCCAACTATCCCATTCTCCGTGCCATTGATGTAGCGGAGGTCGGTAGCGAGTTGTCAGATGTATTCCTGGTGTGTTGATTTTCTCGTGTTAGGCCTACGAGAGTGGGGTCGAAGAGCCATTATCACCGGCTTGTGGTTCGTGAAAATAACCCAATTACGAACTTATAGAAGTGACAAAATGTTCCACCGTCAAGTAGATGACAAGCAGTTAAAGACCGAAGGTACTGCGGTGTGACTTAGCTGGCGAGAGTTTCTTGGAGAAGAAGGTCAATGGCAGGGTTGTACCAGCATATTGTTATTGGAAAACTGAGCCAAAACATATTACCAAAGCGCCTGCAATCAGCTAGAAAGGCGCTTTCGTAGCATGATCCGTCAACAAGGTTGCATCATCAAGGAAAATCTCTATTCTTTAAAAAATTGTAAATTTATCGAACTCGATGGGACCCTTCGGATCGGAAAGCATGCTAGTGAACGGTAGCGAGATATCGGCACATTTCCGCAGGAACCGATGGTAAAAGTTGGTGATGCCAAGCGACCGTGACAATTGACCTACATAAACCGTCGAACCGACTCAAACAAAGTGACTGGCGCAGCATCGACTGCGAGAGATAAAAAAATACGTGTGTGGATCACAAGGCGGGGTAAATCCAAGAGTGTGCGGGCCGCAACCATATAAAGAATTTCTTCGCCTCCATCTGGGCAGCCCACGGCCTCCCCACCAAATAGGCCGCACAACTGCTCAGCTCTGGTGGAGAAATAGCCGATTCTGAGCACTTTTCAGTCTTACTCAACCACGCAGTCATTGACAGGCTTCTACAAGTAGAAAACAAAACGACGTGAGCGGTTCGCCTTTGTCTGCAGAATAAGTTGAAGCCGTATAACAACCCTCCAGCGGGAACTCCCCTGGGTCCGATGCGATTACAACAGGACAACGCAACCACGGTGACCCCCGGTTGATGGACAAACTGACATTGCTCTTCCGGGATGTGCGGCACCAAGAACTATTCCCTCACGATTTAAAGTATGCGATCATTGTCCATCGCTACGAAGGCGAGGGGGACTGGCAACTCTGTGATAAACACAGAGGAATCCTGCTGCTCCAGGAAGATCTTCACTCGTATCTCCCCCAACTGCCTAAACGACCATCTAGAACGAAGGCTTCTACTGGAGAGTCACTGTGGCCTCCGACGACACTACGAAACCCTCCACATGATTTTTGCTGTTCGCCAGCTGCACAGGAAGCGCCAGAAAATGAGGGCCTATCTCTACTTTACGTTTATGGACTTGACGAAAGTCTTCGAAAGAGTGAATCGCGAAGGACTGCGAAAAATCATGCAGAAATTTAGCTGCCCTGAATGATTCACGCACATGGCGCATCAGCTCCACGACGGGATGATGGTGCGCGTCACGGACAGTAGGACTCTCCCTGAGGCGTTTGCAGCAACCAAGGGAGTGAAGCAGGACTGTGTAGTCGCCTCGTCCTCTTCGGTCTCATGTACTCTGTCATGCTGCTGACGCCTACCATGATGAACGCTCTGGGGTCGTCATCGTCTACAGGACCGACGACCAGCTTTTCGATAACCGACTCACGCAGATTCCATGGTTACTTTCCATGACCTGCTCTCCGCGGACGACTGCGCACTCAACCGGAATATGCAATGGGACATGAATCTTTTCGTCGTGCGTTCTGCATTCTTCTGGCTGGCCATCAACACGAATGAAATAGTGGTCATGCGTCAGCCGTCATCCAACATTGAGTACAACGATCCTTGCATCACTGTTCACAGCATCCAACCAAAAACAATAGAAGACTTCACCTATTTAGGAAGAACACTTTCACGGAGCACCAAAATCGAAGACAAATTGACCCACCAAATCTCCAAATCCAGCCAGGTCTCCCACTGGCCGTAGACTTCCATCTAGAACTGTCGAGGTCGCCGTCTCAACACCAAACTTCAATCTTAACGACACTGCTGTATAGAGCGGGGATCTGGATGGTCTACGAGAAGCAAGCTTTGAAACTCAATAACTAACATACCTATCAGTTGCCCTCGGTGAATACTAAACTTGATGCACCAGAACCGAATTCCGGACACGGAAGTCTTAGGACAAACTGGAATCATCGACATCCACTCCGTGCTGAGGTAAATACAACCGCAATTAAGCGACCATCTCGTGTGAATGTACCACGAGAGTCTACCCAAACGATTATTCTAGGGTGATGTCGTTACGAGTGCTTGTTGCTAGGGTGGACAAAAACGACTCTACAAGGATATCCTGATAACCCCTCTTAAGCGGCCGCATATCAACCCCGAAACCTGGATGGATCTCGCCCAAATCTTACTGGCCTGGAGAAGACCAGTGAATATTAATGAGTAATGCAGGAAGCCAATCGTATCGCTGTTAGCAAAGCGAAAGGAGCGGCTCGCAAGTCTCAAGTATCGCCGATCCACAACTCCAACACCCAACCACGTTCAACCCGCCCACGCTGTCAGCAAAAGTTCCGCCCCCTAATCGGCCTCATCATACATCTCAGGACTCAACACAACAACCCGACAACTCCACCTGCTGCCTCCGAAAGGCCTTCATCATCATCCTCACACCAACTCCACGACGTCCGCGACAGCAACTATCACCACCGGTGATAACACTCCTGGTGCCCCATCATCGTTGACCATCGCCGACCCCATCAGCGTGTCACAATCCCGCGACGAAGACAGCGACTACTACCACCACTCCCACGTTCACCACTGGTGTGAATATTCTGACGTCCCGTCGGCCATCATCTTCCCTTCCACCGCTACTTATGTGGACCCCATTCCAACCTCTCCCCATTGTGATCGCACCTGCACATCACACATTGGCCTGGCCAGTCACCCGCTAATTCATCTCACCTGGACTGGCGAACCAGTGACAGTAGCCCCAAAATACACCCGCCTCCACAATTCGTATTGTCAACACACATTCGATCACCGCATGGGCCTATTTGGCCATAAGCGTAGCCATGAGAGTGGAACTCGCCGATATAGCAGCACCTCAAGCACACTTTACACACCCAGCAACCCTCCCATCTATAGAACTGCCAGCTCCTCATCCACCAGCGCAACAACCACTAGCATCACAACCATAGCAACCAAATCAGCAGCTCTGAACCTATCCTACGCATAATGTCGTCGCACATGCACCTCACATGCCTGTAAATCCATCAAATAAGGACTAACGAAACATTGCCAGTAGCGCCTACATACACCCGTCGCCATCGCCTCAACTGTCCGCACTGTCCACACACATCCGGCCATCGCATGGGCCTAAACAGTCACGTGCACCTCCATGCCAATCTGCTGTAAATCACCGTAGATAAAACCTCGTCTTAATGCATTCCCCACATTAAATACACCGCGAACGAACCCGCCCCATGGCACCCACCACACGCACGGAATAGGCACCTCCCACTCAAGTGGAAAGCGTGATCTTCGGTTCCTACTCCATGTGGCCTCTATGGCAGCATAGTGCACGTGGGATCTTGGCTGCTCATTCCATTTTGTGTGAAAACCTAGCGTTCTCTGCGGAGGACGATGTCGTGTGTGGCACGCGCAGACGGGCTGCTTAGCCCAGTCAGTCACTGCGCCCAGTCCCCACATCAGACGACTGGCCGGCTCAGACAGTGGGCTGGTGCTTGTGAGGGAAAAGAGGTGAGGTTGACTCTGGGGACTGTGTTCCCACAGCATTCAACGCATATTCCTCGCCATAAACAAACTGGCATGCTTTTGACCTACAACCGCGTAATATAGGCCGTGGTTTCGAAGGTTTCCAGTTGATGGGATAACTCGACTCTCCTTTCGGAGCGTAGAGTCAGGTTGCAGGGGCACCTTCTAAATGATGTCTTTATGGTACTCCAACTCGGTTGGAATGCAAGCAACTCCCATTCATAACTGTATGAAACTCTGACGCTTTGTGCGCGTATCACGCGTATGCAGCATGCGTGGACGGGCTGTCTAATTTTGTCGGCCAATTCACCCTCTCCAACTTCTAATCTCCCTGACTCTGTCCGAACCCAGAAGAGTGAGGAAGGAGAGTGTGCGGTAAGTATGGTTTGGGTTTGCTACCGCTCACTACTAGCCCACGGGCAACTCACCGTCCCTGCGTCTGTGCGGAGGTATCGGACTAGCTGACTTTTAGCAGACTTTTCGCGTTTCCTTAACGCAATGAACATAACGCTGAAACCCAATCCCACCATCTCACGAGAGCTTGACGGCCGGGTCGTGATCCTACATACCTGGTGGTTATTTTATGCTGTTCGTAGTTAGACGGGTGAATACATTTCTGCCGAAAGTCTTGTCGTACGTTGCCGTCTGGCAAAGAAATTGGACTCAACAACTAAAAAATAAGCAAAAACAATTTCCAGGCAATAATGAACTTCCGAATAAACCGCCGCTGGTTAGTTAACTTTCAGTCAGGATGGCAAGGAAATTTCAGCCAGTGGGAACGGCCAATAACAAGTGATGTTTATAGTCACACTGAGTTTTAGTGTACATTTTGGAGTTTCCAGCTACGTGGGGTCCTGCACCCTACCGGTACCCCTACTGATTTGCATATACTTCTTCTGTGCTCCATATCCCACCTCTTATTCCGCCTCTAACAATGTCTTCCACGGAACCCACGGACGGTGCTACTTCTGTTAATGGAGTCACTGTATCCCTTGGAGAATTCCCGCAACAAGCTCCAGAGCTCTGCTTATCCCTATCGGGGACACTTTTTGCTCACAATAACAAAAGAGATAGTCAAATATTATAAGCTAATTGCGACGCTTCCTCTCTCTATTTTCCGTCACGTTCGAACTTTCTAACGCGACCCTCCTACTAATGCTCCTTACGGCAAGCTTAGAATCGAGCTGATTCAACTCATTTTTGTTTTTTGACCAGCAACGTTACCATGCATGGATAAAAAAAGAAGTTTTGGGCGATCGCCAGCTCTCTAAACTCCTCGTCACATGCGTTCTCTTCCCAGAAACATGGCCATTGATGACAAGTTCTTTAAAGAAATGTTCTTGGAAGGCCTGCTAACATCAGTGCACTGTAGAAACTGCATTCGATAAAAAATGGTGCTTTATAAATCCAAATAGAGTTTACAGAAAAATTCACAAAAATATGCTTTCTTTCACTCATTTGGTGGACTCTATAGATCAAAAAGAAGTGCATTCAAAAGCCCACATCCTGGCGGGTCCGAAATATTATAGGATTATGTCGCATGATAATCACTGTTACAACCCACCTAAGTAATCCCTCCCAATCGAAAGCGCACTTCAGAATTTTGGCCAACATTTCATGAGATCGGTCACTCATTGTACGCTTCAGATAGTCATAATCCGTCAGTCTGGAAGTCCTTGGTCATCGCATTTTCACATGACTCTCAAGGCTGCCGTTGGTGAGTGACGGCTCTAAGGTAATTATATGGACCTGAATAACAACGCCATCCCAGGCCGCTACCTTGTTCCGCATCTTCATGGCTTTTCCAGCGTCCTATTCGGCAAGTCTGTGTTTCCGAAGATCGGCCTGGTCCGTATCCCACTAGATCACTGTCGTCCCGGAGGACGTTTCGATGAATGCCATCACGACTCTCTTTGGCTTTTAACTTCCCGCGAATGCCGGTTAGACTCCGCAACGCCTCCTAAACCATTCAGAGTTTAGTAGACAGTGGGCTCCAAGGCCCAACCTTTGTCTATGCCCATACTGACGACCGATTGATGGCTAGTTTCTCCGCCGAAGAACACGTAAGGCATTTCTCAGGGTTGTTTAACCGCCTCCAACAATTTGACGTTGCTCTCAACCCGCCAAGATCCGTCTACGGTTTTCCTTCCCTTGAGTTTCTCGGACACCTGGTCGGCAGCAACGGCATTCATCCTCCTCGTTCAAAGGTCGCGGCTATCTGTGTATTTCCACCTCCCACCTCCAAACGCCAGCTTCAGCACCCTCTGATAATGGTTAATTTCTACCGCCGGTTCCCTCCGTACTACGCTGACACCACCCTGAGGCTCATGAACCACCTTTCGGGTTCGCAGACGCCCCCGCTGCTTCTGACAAGGTGAAGGTTGGACTGACCGACTCCACCCTCCTAACACACTCTGATCCCGATTTCCATATCTCGCTCATGGTTGATATCCCCAATATTGCAGTCAACACATTTTTCCAGCAGCACCTCGCAGGCCAGACCCGACCCGTAACCTCCTTCTACAGAAAGCTATCACTTGGCGAATCTTGTTACAGCATATTTGGACAGGAGCCTCTTGCTGTTTTGCTCGCCGTGGAACACTTCCGGAAATTGCTTGAGGACAGAGAATTTACTATGCCACGGGATCACAAACCTCTTTCTTTCACACTCAGGGCGAGTTCTGACAGGCCCAACTCCCGTGAGATCCGCAAACCGGATTATATTTCGCAGCTCACTTCAGAGATCCGTCATTCTGATGGGTCACGGAGTGAGGTGGCGTGGCTCACAGCTCAGTGGCTCATCTCCAACGCTCTGTCTGGATCGATCTCAATGAGGTGGCTGCCGAACAAAGCCGTGTTGGCCCTTCCTGTGGCGAGAATGTTTCTGGACTGCAGCTGCATGATCTACCATTGACTACTGGCAACGGAGCTATTTTCTGCGTCTTTTCCCCCGCCTCCCACCGTTCCTTTGTGTTGCGATCCCTTCGCCAAAAGTTTCCTCCTCCTGCACAACCTCTTTCACGTTGGGAGTCGACCTGCCGACAAGCTGGTTTCCATCTGATTTGTCTAACTGGGGATGTTTAAGGACATGAAAACTTGGACTGTTTTGATTACCAGCGAAAGAAGGTCCGACAACACAACAAAGCTCCCACCGCTACCTCCATCAGTCCCGACGCAATATTTAGTCACGCCCGTCTGGGTACTTGAAGTCCACTGCCTCTGCCCAGTGGCTGTTCCTACGTCCTCACCTGTTTGGATAGTTTCATTCGGTGGCCGGAATTTACCCCTCTGTCCGACGTCGCTGCTTCAACGGTGGTTAAGGCCTTTCTCAGTCGTTGGGTTGCCATTCCCGGTGCCGCCTCCATTAGACGACTGAGCGTGGTACCCGGTTTAAATCTGGCCACTTCCCTCCTTTTTAGGCGGCACCGGCATCCTCATGACAGCCCTCTGCCCATGGGGTAGTTGAGCAGTTCTACCACCAGCTTAAAACCTCCCTATGAGCGGCAGAGGACCCGAATAATCGGACAGACTATCTTCACTGGTCCTATTAGACTTCCGCCCCACATCCATGCCGGACATTAACTGGTCCGCAGCTTTCAGTTTATTTCAGTTTCAGTTTATTTGGTAAGGATAATAGGCAAAGCCTTTGAAAACCCTATTGATTACATGTCAGCTCGTTAGAAATAACTGTACACGAACAAAAAAATTCACTATTAAAACAGTACTTGGTTCATTTGAGTAGCATTGTCTCAGAAAAAATATTTGTCTGGACCAGGGGTATTTATTCAGATTCAGACTGTCGAGGGAAAGCAGGGGACACAAATAATCATCCACGCGTTTCTTGAAGAGTTGCAGGGATGTAGCCTCCACGACTGACTGAGGGAGATCGTTCCATTTCTCCACTACCCTCTGCGTGAAAAATTCAGAACGGAGATTCAGCCTGGACATTGTTGTCCGTAGCTTCATCGAGTGACCACGAAGATTGGGTGAAAGGTGCCACTGAAACATGTCCTCAAATTTAAGTCCATACTCAAGGCCATGTATTATCTTGTAGACGAGGATAAGATCACCTCTTTGCTGCCTGTAACACAGAGGGAATGAATTAAGGCAATTCAGTCTGTCTGTGTAGGAATGGCTTTTTAGACCGTTTACCAGCTTTGTTGCACGCCGTTGTACCCGTTCAAGGCATTCTTGGTCCTTTACCAGCTATGACCGCCATGCTTGTATGCCATATTCTAAGTGGGGCCGAACAAATGTACCGTAAACTCTCCCAAAAAGGACTTGGTCAAAGTTAACGAAAATCCTTTTTATTGCATGCAGCATTTCCATGGCGTTTTTTGCAGCCTTGTGGCACTGCAGTGTTGGTTTCAGGTTGTTCCGTATCCAAACCCCGAGATACTTCTGTGAAGATTCTGCGGGGAGCCTTATATCTTTCAGGTGATAAGTCCTCAGACTCTCATT